TAAAGGTGTGTGCCACCCCAGAATTTTGAGGAAACTGTAGCAGAGGCATTTTGAAGCTAGATAACCTGGGTTACTTGTCTATATTGGTGTCTGGTTTTTTTGTTCTGAAAATACACAAAATTTTGAAGGTAACATATGTATCTGTATTAATACAAATATAGAATGTGAGGGGTATATAAATCAGCTAAAGATGTTTTTGTTTTATGATTGAATAGGTAAAGGCATTTGTCAACTTTATAAGTTTATTTAGACCATATAACCAAACCTCCATCCATGTCATATAAAAGGATGGCATGTAATAATAAATCATGAAGATTCTGTAGCCAACAAGATTGTTCATGTCTCTGTCCCCAGGCAGAGGGGTCAGCATATATGTCACCTGTCTTGTAGTTTGTTGTTGTTGTTGTTGTTTTCCTTTATGTCTGTAGCCAAGATTTTCAGGAAGTCTCCCCAGTCAAATTGATCTTTATTAATTTTGAAGAGAGCTATAATTTTTTGTTTCCTTTGGAAACATAACCTCTCCCCCAATACAACATATTTTCTGACTACCATTTTGAAGTTAAGGCATTCTTAAAATATATAGGTTGGTTTAATTTAATAGCTTCCAAAATACAATGCCTCTTAACAACAATTGTTTTTTTTATATATTATCATTTAATAACAAAACCCACAAAACACCATACATGATCCATGCTGTGCATTTCCCATCTTTATATGGCTTGTTCTTTTTATATTGCTTTGTTGCATAGCTGGGACTCTTAAAGGAGTCCCGCCTCTACACTGTGAGCAGTGGACTCTCTGTATGGGCCCCATGTTGGGAACCATTTGTAATGGGTCTTTTTTCTGTCCCACCAGCCAGCTCTCAAATAATGACATGGAGATTTGTTATTAATTATGAAAGCTCAGTCTATAGCTTAGGCTTGTTCCTACCTAGCTTTTATAACTTAATTAGCCCATTTATATTAATCTGTATTCTATTGTGTGGTGTTACCTCTCTGCCATCTTATACCTCCTGTTTCCTTTCCATGTCTCCTGGCTTCCCTGTGTGCCTCAATTCCTCCTCTTCTTTCTTTTCTCCCCAAAAATCCCACCTATACCTCCTGCCTAGCTATTAGCCATTCAGCTTTTTATTATACCAATCACAGCAAAACACCTTCACACAGTATCCAAATATCCCACAACACCTTCTGGGTCTCTGTTTTTTCATCTGTAAAATGGGGATAATAATACCTCACTTGTTTCCTCTGAGAAATAATTAGTCCACAGACCCCTCAACGATTAGCTAGTGCTGTATACCTCATCTGCCAGGGGACCCGGTGATGTGTGTACTCTGACAGTGTCCCAGAGGCTGCAAAAGCATTCACACTCCTGGTTGATTCTTATGGCTGTTTATTTGCCCGGAGCCCTTAGTAGAACATTGACTCTTCATTCCTGAGCAGGCAGAACTTTTAACAGGACACCCCACCTTCCCACCAAAACTGCTCTTCCCATTTTCAAGAAACGCCTGGGCATTTCCTCTTCTTCCATTTCACTACCTTAAGACCAAAGTCGACCCTTGTCTTTCTCCCAGTGTTGTTTTTCTAACCCTGAAGCTGATTTGTAGACTAAGCTTGTTTCTCTCTTCTTAGACGGCCCTTTGGATTCCTCTTGTGATAATCCCCAGATAGGAAGGAATTTACTGTCCTCTTCCAGCTCTGACTCTAATGTTCTCTGTTCCGAGCTTCCTGTCTTCCAGGGAATAGCAGAGCAGTTAGCTTTGGCAGGTGAACAATGTTTTTGCTTTCTTGTTTTGTTTTGAGACAGAGTTGAACACTGTACTTCAAGAACTGATCTCAAACTTGAGGCAATTCTCCTGCCTTGGCCTACTGAGTGCTGGGATGGTTAGTGTGAGCCAATACACTGCCCATCTTGAAGGATCACTTGACAGGATGACCAAGCCCTGGGGCCTGGAATACCTGACCTTTTAGTCTCTGCTAAGACAGCAGTTCATAGAGAGCGTGGTAACAAAGATGTCTTCTTGTCCTATCAAAGGACTTCACATAGCATGTGAGGAGGGAGGGGAAAGAAAGATGTCTGTAACAGCTGACCCCTTTTATCTGCCGCTTCTTGGCCTGATATTTGCATGTGAGCTTCATGTTGATGGGCTATTTCACCCTTTGGTTTTATTGCTATTTGTATCTCTGAAGGAAAACATGTTTGAAAGAGAATGTATTCTTATCTGTGGCTTTTTTATTTTGGAACAGGGTCTCACTTACAGCCCTAGCTGGCCTGGAATTTGCTACACAGACCAGGTTGGCTTTGAACTCACAGATATCTGCCTGCATCTGTCTCTTGAATACTGGGATTAAAGATTTGTGCTACCACCCTGGCCATTCTGATTTTAAAAATAAAATAAAATTTGAAAGCATGTATTTCAGTTTTAGTTGGGCTTTTTGGTTTTGTTTTGGTGTTTTTTGTTTGTTGGCCTGGTTTTTGTTTTTTTTTTTTTTTTTGACTTTTACTATTTTGGTCAGGCTGAACTCAAATTCAAAATCCTACCTCAGGGGCTGGAGTGACAGCTCAGATGTCAAGAGCACTGGCTGCTCTTCCAGAACACCTGGATTCAATTCCCAGCACCCACGTGGTGGCTTACAACCATCTATAACTGTAGTTTCAGGGGACCTGGCACCCTCTTCTGACATCTGTAGGAATCAGGCATGCATGTGGTCACAGACTTACATACAGGTAAAACACCCATACATATTAAATACACATACATGCATACATACATGTCCTGTCTCAGTATCCTGAATACTTCACGCTACATCTTTTCAGTTTGAGAAGTAACAACAGGTTTTACACATGAGAGGAGTAGAGGATTTAATGTGACTTTTCTTTTCTTCCCCTTTGATTCATAAAACTGTGTCCTTGGCCCTGACTGCAAATTGGACTTTGGGGGCCAGGCATAGTGTTGCGTCCCTGTGATCCTAACACTCAGAAAGCAGGGACATTGATTGGTGCAAGTTCAAGGATAGCCTAGTCTACTAGCCTGTGTATAGGAATTCCAGGCTAGCTAACTAATTGTATGGCACAACCTCATCTCAAAAGAAAAGACAATTGAATTTTGGCTTGGAAGTGGATGCCTTAGAAGTAAATTGAGGTGGAGTTCTGGCTCGTTTTGGAAAATGAAACATAAAACTTTATACCTTGAAAAAAATTGTTCACCAGGCAGTGGTGATGCATATCTTAAATCTCAGCACTCAGGAGACAGAGACAGGCAGATCTCTGTGAGTTTGAGGCCAGCCTAGTCTACAGAGCAAGTTCCAGGATAGCCAGGGCTACATAGAAAAACCCTGTCTTTAAAAAAAGAAAGGAAGGGAGGTATTTTTTAAAGACTTATTTTATTATTTTATGCATAGGAGTGTTTTGCCTGCATGTATGTATGTGCACCACATTCATACCTAGTGCCCTCAAAGATCAGAAGAGGGCTTCAGATTCCCTGGGACTGGAGTTACAGATGGTTGCAAGCCATATGTGGGTTCTGGGAATTGAACCCAGGTTTTCTGCAAGAGCAATAGTGCTCTTAACCACTGAACCAACTCTCCAGCCCAGACCTTACACTTTTTATCTCACTGATTCCAAACCCCCGAAGAAAGGTGAGACACTGTGGAGCCCGTAGGCTGGGGCAAGCTCTCCAGCCCTGCCTCTCACCTGAACCTAGCCAGTCTCTGCTTCAGGCATTGACCGGGGAGCTGGGAAGGGCGTGAGAAGGGAGCGTTCAGGGGACCTCATTTCCACCTTCAATGTAGAGATGAATGAAGCCAGTTTAGGAAGATGTGCGTCGGGACCATCCCTACCCTCCTCCCACCCTGCCCAGTGCACATGACCCAGGAGCCCCTTTCTGTGCCTGCTGCTGGCCTCTCTCTGAGAGGACTCCAACCCTGAGCATGCAGAAGTGGATTAGTGAAAAGAGCACCAGATTAAGCATCAGGAGACAGCTTTCAAGATCCAATTTTACCCATCAGTAGCTAAGGAATTTAGAGAAAGCCACTTAACCCCATGGTCTCTTCGCCTTTTGGTCGGTAAAGTGGAAATTCCTTTCCCTGAATTCTACGGGGTGATTCTGAGGGTCATATGACACCGCGGAGAGGGAGCCTCTGAAATATGGTGCTGAGTTTTGCACGTCCTGTGCTCTCAGAAGCCGTGGCTATAACAACTGTGACTGTTTGATAGGCTTGCTTCAAGCTCTGCAGCAAGGGTGGGGCTGTCACGGCCATGTAGAAACCAGCTTCTAGGCTATTGTCTCCACTCATCAATGTTTTGCTTATTTTAAACCAGGGTTTCACTATATAACCCAGGTTAACCTTGAACTCCTGATCCTCCTGCCTTGGCTTCTCAAGTGTTGGGATTCCAAGTATGGGTCACTATACCCAGCCCATAGTCACAAGTCATCATGGTATGTGGCCATAGTCTGTCCAAAAGAATTTGCCCTTTGGCTCATTTTTGAAGCTTTCTAGTCGGCAGATGGTCTCTGAGCAGAGCATGTTCCCAGTCCTTTCTTTTTAGCCAATTCTAAGAGCCTATCACTTTAGCTAGATACCTGAGTAGCCAGTTGGAGCAACCTGAGATTCAGTACTTGCTCCAGCCGTCACTACTGCGTGGCCTCACATAACTCATTTTGCTTCTCTGAAACTTGTTTTCCTCTGCTGAAAATATGAGCAATGTTATCTGACCCCCTAGGAGTTTCCCAGGGAATAAAAGAGACTTGTAAGTTCCTATGAATGTGTGTCAGTTCTCTGCCCTTTCCCTACTCGAGGAAGAATTGTTACTGGACATACCTGCCCAGAGTTCGTGGAGATCTTGGAGACATTTTAGAACCAGATCAGAGATAAGACCCTAGTAAGAATCATTGCCAGACATCATAACCCCCATCGCAAAGATGCTTCAGAATCATGTTAGAGATGGGATGACCCTGAGATGTCACCTGTTCTGACCTCACTGGATCTTTGTGCCTTGTGCAGGGAACATCATCGGCTCTGGGATCTTTGTCTCCCCAAAGGGTGTGCTGGAGAACGCTGGCTCCGTGGGCCTGGCTCTCATCGTCTGGATAGTGACGGGCATCATCACAGCTGTGGGAGCCCTCTGCTATGCTGAGCTGGGTGTCACCATTCCCAAATCTGGAGGTGACTACTCCTATGTCAAGGACATCTTCGGAGGACTGGCTGGGTGAGCAGATCTGGAGGTCTGGATGGCCTAAAGCTAATGTCCAATCTTTTGCGTATCAATATGACTCTGTCATCTAAAAATGTATTTATGTCATACTCATAGCTATCCTGGGATGCATGTGGTCCATGGGCTGCAAGTTAGTGCCACTGGTGGAGGGAAAGGAGAAATCTGGGACAGAAGGACCAGATCCAGAGTCCAAGGATGAGAGTTTCAAGTCCAATGTGTTGCCAATCACGTAATCAGTAGATGAGCCACACTGCAATTCTTATCTCTTCATTTAAGCCTAATAGGCAAGGCTCTATAAACAAAGAAAATGACAACAGTGACCACAGAATTCTAGGAAAAGTAATCACGAAAAGGAAGCCCTATACATGTGAAGGACATGTGTCCCCAGTCGGAGCATCCTGAGATGAAGCATCCCCCTCTTCACATTGCCAAGGATGGTGACCTCCTTCCAGAGTTCCAATCTTGAGTTTTCTTGGCTTCTCTAACACCGACTGAGGAACTCATCCATCACTAAAGGGCCAAAGTGTGTGCAAGGTGCTTGCCCTGAAGACTCCTGTCTGATACCTCCCTGGCAACTGCTTACGTAGCCACACCTTTAGGGTGTTCTGCTTATCAGAATTCTGGGGTTGCATACTTACTTTTTCAACCCTTGGACGTAAAGGGCTAACGTTGCAGAGAGGATTGAAGGGGAAAGGAGAAAGCCCAAACACCAGGATGTGTGTCAGCATTAGCTGAAATGTATGGAGGACTTTGCCGATACATCATGTCATCGGTGTTACAAAGGACTTGGGATCTCATTTGGGATAGGGCAAGAGCTGGCCTCTTCAGTATCTCTAGAAACAAAAGGAGAAATATGCCTTTAATCCACTGGTATTTGCTCATTTGCTCAAGACTTCCCCCATCCCTGCCCCTTACCTGACTTCTGATGACTCTGGCTCACTGCCCTGGCAGCCAGTGATTTTGCTGTTCTTCCTTTAGGTTCCTGCGGCTGTGGATTGCTGTGCTAGTGATCTACCCCACCAACCAAGCTGTCATCGCCCTCACCTTCTCCAACTATGTGCTGCAGCCGCTCTTCCCTACCTGCTTCCCCCCGGAGTCTGGCCTGCGCCTCCTGGCTGCCATCTGCTTGTGTAAGTGGCATCCGGACCTCACTTCAGCCTCTTTCAGTCTTCCTGACGACCTTCATGTCCTGGTTTCTCCTTTCTTTCTTCATTCTCTCTCTCACTTTCTCTCTCTCTCTCTACTTTCCATTCCATACGAATGTGTTTTGGATGAGTGCATTCTCCAGAGTTACCTCTAGTGTTGCATAGAAAGCCAGGTATGGTGTCACATGCCTGGAATCCCAGAACTTGGAAGGCAAAGGTAGAAGGATATTGAGCTGGTGGCCAGCACAGGCTACATAGTGAAAGCCTATCACAAACAAGAAGTAGAAATAGCTTCTTGGAGACACAGTCGCTTTTGATGCTAGGACATTGGCCCTTTCACCTCTGCGATCTGATTTCCGATTGGAGCCTCATGGCCATGATTACCTCATGGATTCATAAGGTAAGATGGGCCATATTATTATTTTCCTAAGGATAGAGCAAGTGACTTTCTAGGAGGCAGATCCTGCATGGAGTCCAGGTCTTTGGAGTCCTTGGTCTTCCAGTACAGTGGTGCTGGCTTCTGCAGCTGCTGAGAAGACCCCGATAACCTCGTGGCAGGTAGTTGTGACAATTTAGAGATTGCAAACTCACGAACCTTGTGAACTGTGTCGGAGGAGAGTTTATCCTTTGTCTGTGCCCTAGATAAGTTTTTGGTTTGGTTTGTTGTTGAGACAGGGTTTCTCTGTGTAGCCCTGGCTGTCATAGAGCTCTATATGTAGACCAGGCTGGCCCCAAACTGACTGAGATCCAGCTGCATCTACCGTCTGAGTGCCTGGATTAAAGGTGCGTGCCACCATGCCTGCCTTGGATGAGTTACTTTGATTCGTTGTGTGTTTGAAATGGTGGGAAAGCCTTGTAGGCATGGTTAGGATTAATTGGCTGCAGTGAAAACCCAGGATGGGAAGAGGCTTGCAAGGTGGACTCAGCAGATCTTCGTGAGAAAGGTTCTGTGGAGCCGACTTCTAGGCTCTGACAGCAGTGATCTCGGTGGGATGGGATGCTCCGTGTCTTTACTCACACACCAGTTCCTCAAGCAACTGCTTGGGTTTCAGGGGCTGCACTCAAAGGTTGGCTTGGGGCCTGCCTTCAGTACACAGCTTCTAACAGTGTGGCGACCAGCCTTACTATTCATTTCCAGGTCCAGCCATTGTCCTTCTGTCTTGCTGGTGTGATAGGATAAGAGGGACCCGCCACTCTAGACAATCTCCCAGGACAGGCATCTGAGACCATAGCAAAAGGGCTTTGTTTGGTGGTGGAGATTGGCCCTGACGTAGACCCTACACATAGGCAAGGTGAACTATGAGGCCGAACCCCCTGTTTGGGGCAGTGGTCACATGTTTTGTCTGGTCTGCTTACAGACCAGAGGTAAATGAGTGTGCGCCCCCTCAACTCTACTCCACACATTCTGATTGCTTGGCCAAGCTGTCTGCCTCCTTGCGAGATCAAATCATGCATGGTAAGCAATCCTGTGTGTGCATCAGGAGGGTATCTGTTAGGAGCACAGATCTTTCTGTACCTCAACCTAGCCCGAAGAAGAGTTGTGGTTCATGGGTATTAGTATCACTAACTTGCTTCATAGCTGGAGGTAGAGCTGGGGGTAGTGTAGGAAAGCGGGAGAAGTTGCTGCTTCTGCCTTCAGCCCAGCTAACAAGGGGGGATGGAGAGAGCACATGAGTGGCAGCTGCTGTGTCTGTGACTTGTGCACAGAGTCAGCTTCCTCCTTCCCGCTGATGCTACCAAAGTCTCAGACAAGAAGGCTCCTCTGACCCTCTCCTAGAAACCCAGAGCTCCACAGCTATGAGGTTCCCTCCCCCTGCCCAGGAGAGGAACCAGACCACACTATGCTGTTCCTTTACCACAGACAGCCATGGGTTTGACACTTTGCACAGTGACTCTGAAGTCGTGAGGTCTGTGCACGCACACACACCCTGCCCCGGCTAGGACGGTCCCAGCCCTTCCAGGTGGTAAAATGAGCTCCTCTCCAGCCAGCTCCAGAGAGGCAGGCAGCATACAGTGCACTCCAGGCCTGCCCTCCCTGGACACTGCCCAGACAAGTCAAGAAAAACTGGAGACACTTGCTGTCTCCCTTTCCTGCCTTCAAAGAGCTAATAAAGTCTCCGTGGCCCTCCCCTGCCTCCTGAGTGGAGCTGCAAGGAGAGTGGCTCCAACTGAGCAGAGCCAGCCTTGTCCTCCGGGAACAGTCATTTTTCACTATCCTTGAGATGTGTGTCTAGATAGTATTCCAGCAGGAAAATCTTAAACTCCGTTAGGGGACTCCCGGAGATGGAAGCCAGGTCCCAGATGTTCCGAGCCTGTGTACAGAGGTTCTGGTCTCTGGTTTGTTGAATGTCATTTTGCTTTGGGAAATAGGGGGTGGGGCTCACCATGTAGCCCAAGTTAGCTTTGAATTTGCTACGTAGGCCAGGCTGACCTCAAACTTGCAGCAGCCTTCCTGCCCCAGCCTCTCTGACGCGGGATTCATAAGCACCACCTCTCTACTAGTGCTTTATTAAAAGCCCACGTTGGAGCCTTCTTCAATAGTCTCTCGGGGCAGCCCATGTTGAAAACACTTTATCGATGCCATGCTTCATGATGCTGGCATCTTTGGGGCAAGGGAGCTATTGAGATGTGATTTTGCTATGTAGCAGGTAGCCCTGGTTGGCCTGAAACTTAATATATAGGTCAGGCTACCCTGAAACTCAATGTATTGACCAGGCTATCCTCCAGACCTTGAACCTGTAGCTTTCCCCTGTCATGTCTGGTCAGATCCATGTCCTGCTCTATGACAGGGCTCTACCATGTAAGCCAAGTCACCTTTGAATTTACTATGTAGCCTAGCTTTGAACATGACATTCTCCTGCCTTGGGTTCCTGAAGGCTGAGTTTCCAGTGGGTGAGGGTGCCACCAGCACCCTGGTATTGTGACATCTTATTCCAATACTCCTTCCCAGCATGGCCACTGTCATCCAGTGTCTCCTATCCTCTCAGCAGGTGCCAGGTCACCAAGCTCTGTGAAACAGTCTCCATGTAAAGGTGGAAGCAGGATGTCACCCAGCTTCAGCATACTTTTGAGAGAAGCAGCAGAGAGTGTCTTAGTTAGGGTTTCTATTGCTGCGGTGAAACACCGTGACCAGAGAGCAAGCTGAGGAGGAAGGGGTTTATTTGCCATACACTTCAGCACTATTGCTTATCACTGAAGGAAGTCAGGGCAGGATCCTGGAGGCAGGAGCTGATGCAGAGGCCACGGAGGGGAGCTGCTTACTGGCTTGTCTCCATAGCTTGCTCAGCCCATATTCGTTGAGAACCCAGGACCACCAGCCCAGGGATGGCACCACCTACCAGGGGTTGGGCCCTCTCGCATTGATCACCAAATGAGAAAATGACTCACTTTCATAGGGGCATTTTCTCAGCTGAGGCTCCTTCCTGTGATGACTGTAGCTGGTGTCAACTTGACATACAAAACCAGCCAGTACAAAGAGCATAGATGGGGGGGGGAGGGGGATGGGAACATTTACTCCGGAAACTTTGCTTTTCGTTGTCTTCTTTGGCTGATGATTGACTGGACCTACTGAGTCATGAGAGGTTTGAAGAAAGGCCACCCTTGGTGGAGCAGTCAGTCACTGGTCCATAATGTGGGGCACAAAGGAGAGTGGGTGTGACAAAGCCTGGGCCCACTGCTGGGATGGGATCGTTTTTGGAAGAAATGGTTTTCTGAAGAAAAGAATTTCTGAAGAGAAATGAAGTTGGGACAAGCCAAATAGGGGTGGAGAGGCAGAAAGAACCTGATGTAACTGGCTTGCCTGCCCAGAGCCTGGAGGGAGTGGGGGAAGAGGACAAGAGGAAAAGAAGGAACTGCAGATTTGGACCTGCTTGTGCAACCACCACAGCACTGTTTGAGTTATTCTATTATTTAGGTCAAAGCTGATTACTTGCTGCTGAATCAGCAGAATATCCCTGGGCACCAGGCAGTAATAAAAGAAAGCATTTTACATTTTAATTTGATGAAAAGCCTTTCTCTCTGGCCTCCCAGAGCAAGCATACTGGGGGGAGTGGGTTAAAACTCGGTTTGGACGCACCTGCTTTTGTGATTTGTTTCTCTTGGTTATCTACAAAGTTCCAGTAGAACCATGAAATAAATTACAAAAGAGTCCTAGTGACACACCTCCTCGCTGCCCTCGCCCTACCCCTGCACCCGCTTATGGAGGACAGGTCCCCCCATTCTAACCCATCTACTGAGGTGTAATGAGGTGTGTAGATGCAGTGTCGGCTGTTGCCTCTCCAGCTCGCCCTTCTGTCGTGTGGGCCCATCTTCTGGGTGTTCAGTGGCTTTCTAGAGTTAAAAGACAAAATTCAAATGAGTTAGCTGGTCTAGGACCCAAGCGATTCTCCTGCCTCAAGCCTCCCAGATACCCACTGGTGCACACCAGCAACTTCAAAATCCCACTTAAGTTTGATTTGTCTTCTATAATCAGGAAACAATTCTTTCCACGAAACAGACTAAGTCCTGGGGGTGTGGAGAGATGGCTCAGCATCAGTTAGGCACGCTTGCTGCTCTGGGAGAGGACCAGCGTTCACTTCCCGGCAACCGCATCACTTTGGTGACTCACAGCCATCTATATATAACCCTAGCTCGAGGGACTCACACACCCTGGTCTGGCCTCCTGGCACTCTCGTGTGCATGCACATACAAGTGTGCAACACACACACACACACAGAGAAGCATATATTTTTTTACCCTGGAAAAAAAAGAATAAGATTTCTAATGTCCTAACAGACAAAGTTGGTTTTTATAGACAGAGAAGGGCTTGAAGACAGCAGAAACAAAAGTCAAAAAAGCAGATCAGTAATTCACAGCTATTGTCCTTATAAATTAAGGCATGGGAGACATGGTGACAAGAAGCAGCTGATTAGCTTACCATCCAGTTAGTTCAGATTATTCCTTTTTATATGGGTTAGAACAGGGGGGAATTTGTCATACTGATTGGA